TTTGTTGATTTATTGATGATAGCCATTCTGACCTGAGTGAGGTGGTATCTCATTGTGGTTTTTATTTGCATTTCCCTAATGCTAAGTGAGATTGAACATTTTTTCATATGCCTGTTGACCATCTGTATGTCCTCTTTAGAGAAATGTCTCTTCATATCCTCTGCCCATTTTTTAATTGGGTTGTTTGCTTTTTTATTGTTGAGTTGCATGAGTGTTTTATAAATTTTGGATATTAACCCCTTTAATAAGCTTTTTATTAGCAGCCTGGGTAAACCCGAGATTGGTGTGAGTGACGTCACTCGCGGCTCACTGCCTGTCACACTCAGCCCACTCATTAGCCTTGTGGGATAGGAAATCTTTGCCCCACTTTACAGATGGGAAAATGGAGGCTCGGAGAGGTGAGCCAGGGACCACGCTTCACTCACTGAGGGGCAGCGCTGGAACTTGAACCCGGGATGCCACGGCTCCAGGGCTCTCTCTCCTTCCATGGTGCCGCCTGTCTGACGACAGGCAGTTTCGTTTGTTTCCTTTTCTGCTTGAACTATTGTGAACCTTCAGTTTCACAAGGGCATTGAACAGGGTTTCTGGGCATGGGCCCCAAGTGAAGCAATCAGAGTAATTGTCTGCAGCCAAGTGCGGGGGACGCCCACTGGACCAGCTGTCCTTTCTGGGACAGGTTCCTGCCTTTGAGTCATCCTGGCTCATGGGTGCTGTGGGACTTAGGCTCTAGAAATATTAGCATGGAACCAAATATTAGATGTGTTTGGAGCTGTGTTTCTTCAATACTAAGAGTTGGTTCATGTATTGATCCTCTGAAGTAGTCTTTGGCCAAGACCAAGAAGACTGTGTGGTTAAAAGGACAAACACATATTATCGACTCAGTAAATATTGTGCACCTTCTAGATGCCAAGCAATTGACTATGGACTAGGGACACCCCAGTGAACAGACAGACATGGCCCCTGCCCTCCTGGAGCTTACAGTCTGGTCGGGAGCGCAGATCAGTAAACAGAAGTCTGATAGTGTGCTAAAGGCCTTGACAGGAAGATGTGAGACCTTAGAGGGTCACGCAGGAGGGAATCCACCTTGACACTTTGGTGAGGAATAGGAGCGTTCTAGGCACGGGGGGTGGGACAGGAGTGAGGCTTGCAGGCAACAGGGTGTAGTCTGTTGGGGGATGGAAAGAAGGCTTGTGGAACTGGAATGGCAGGGGATGGGGGACACACTGAGAGAATGGACAGAGGAGAGGGTCAAGGCTGGGCCTTGTGGGCATGGTGAGGGGTTCGCATCCGCAGCAGTAGGGAGCCACTGAGGGCTGCTAAAGGAGGAGTGAGGAAGGTCAGAGGGGAGCTTTGGGAGGCCCCTCCGGCTGCAGTGCAGACAGAGCAAGACCAGGACCCAGGAGGCCAGTGAGGCAGCGGGATGCTCGGCCAGGGTCGGGGTAGCAGAAGGGGCCCGTGGGAACAGGACTTGGAGATGACTGACCAGAGATTCGTGAGGAGGAAGACTTGATGGTCAAGCCCTGGCTGTTGGCTGCAGGAGCTGGGGGTGGGGTGGGGTGGGGGGAGGGGGCTCTGCCCACAGGTTCAGGGCGCTCAAGAGGGAGAGGGTTTGCAGGAAGTCTGGGGAGCTCCGTGTGGGACATGTGGGTGCCCCAGGGGCATCTGGGGGCAGTTGTGCAGGGGGCAGTTGTGCAGGATGCAATTGATGTCAGGGTCCAAAGTTCTGGATAGCAGTCTGAACTGGGCAGGAAATTTGTGGGCGGTCTGGGAATAAATGATGGTGATGGACCCTGCAGGGGTGGACTCAAATTACTTGCTGACTTTGGGCAAGCCACCTCTCCCCCTGGGGCCTCCGTTTCCACATCTGTAGCAAGGGGAGTTTGGACTAAATGATGTCCAGGTGGTGCTTAGTAATTCTCAGCATGTGGCTGAGTGTTTGCAGCATCAGGGCTGGGTTTGGGTTAAAATATCTAAGTGCGGTCCTCAGCCATGCCGGCCTCCCCGGATCCTGCAGAGGACACATGGGGTGGGGCAGGTGTTGTCCCCTGGCAACAGATTCTTTGAAACATACCTAAGGGACAGTGAAGTCCCAGAGGGTGAGCAGGTATCTGATAGAGGCCCAGAAAGATCTAGAGAGAAGCATAAATGGGAGGCGTAACCTGGGGAGCACGGCGCAGGCACCCAGGAGCAGCCCCTGGTCCTTTTAACCTGAGGCTGGGAGCAAGAGGTGAGCCGGGGCAGCTGTGCGTCTCTGAAACCAGCGCTTCCCCTGCCCCGACCCGGGAGAGCGGGAGGCACTCCCTGGTATCAGCCACCGAGCCCAGCACCTGGGAGCAGTGCCTGCACAGACCCCCTTACCTAGTGCTGCGTTCAGGACCACCTGTATGATGCAAGAGTGTCGTCACTGATGTCAGACCTGGGTTCAAATCTCACTCTGCCACAGACTGGCTGTGTGGCCTCGGGTGAATCACTTTACCTCTCTGTGCTTTTGATTTCTCAGCTGAAAAGTGGAGACGCTGGTAATGGTAGCAGTTGAGTGGCTGCTGCAAGGCCTGACTGTAAAGTTCCTAATCAGAGCCTGGAACACAGGCTTACCCCGTGGTATAATATCAGCTATCATAAATTAGCTATAATCCTCCTGTGTCAACCTCACAAATCCACGTGTGGCTGTGGGGCCCACACCGTTTGTGAGTGGTCAAGCCAGGAGCCCGACTCACACCTACATGGTTTCAAAGTCCCACACTTTCTCCCCATTACGAATGCCTGCCCGTGTCCCTCCCCGCCTGAGTTGACGCCGGGTCTATAGCTCTGGTGACTGTTGGCCTCCCCTCTCATTCAGTGGGTGGGTGAGTAATGACCCTGCCATCCAAATTCACCTGGTGGTTTCTCTTCTGTGCCCTTCGCAGGCATCTGTAACAGGTTCCATCCGTGCCTGAATTTATCCCTACAACAGCCAGCCGTCCTTGCGCCCCCCTTTGAGACCACGAGCCTGGAGGCGTCCCCGGGGGTGGCCGCCTGGCCGACGCGGCCTGAGAGAGACAAGCTGCTGGACCATCTGCATCTCAGCATCCTGCTCTGGGATGAGAGCATCCTGGAGACGCTGTCGCCCCAGCTCACTATAGGTGCCGACTCCTCGGGGCGGACTGGCAGAGGATGTTGTTTTCTTGGCCTGTTTGAGAGACTGAAAGGGCTTCTGTCCTGTGTGGGAGGATGGTGAAGCCACCACGGGGAGGAAACGGGCAGAGTGACTGGGCCTTGGGGCCTCCACCTCTCGGCACAGGGGCTTTGCTCAGTCTCCCTTCCCACGGGGCCATGGCCAGAGGAACACAAACTCCCGCTGAGCCCATTTTGAGTTAACCGGACAGCTCTCTGCTCCCAAGGTCCAGGCACACTGGATATCAGTGGCTCCGTTCTTTCGGATCACCGTTCTCTGCCTGTCTACCCATCTCAAGGCCTGCTTTCTCCAGGAGCCTCTCTGATGTCCCCCTCCCTCTAAACCTGCAGTTTTGACCCTTCATTGACCGGCACCATCAAATATCAGATGGACAGATGAGTGCACAAAGCTTCTGATCGGGCATTTGGAGAAATTCAGAGATGAGCTGGATGTGCTCCTTGCCCCCGAGACACTAACACCCTAGCAGTTGCATTAACTGGCAGCCGCCCAAATTACCAGGATTTGAGGGGTCATGAGGTCATTACCACGGGGACATAGAAGGCCAGGGCGTTCCAGGCAGGAGATGGACTCATGGCAGCTGGAGCAGCAAGGAGAGGGTCATGAAGCTCCTAGAGCAGTTTGTGCACGCCCCCAGAAACAGTGGCCAGTTTAAAAGAGCGTCGTTTTGGGAGCCTGGGGACCTGTAAGGCTGTCCAAGGGCTGTTCTGAGCGCATTCCCCGTTTGTGAATGCTTCAGGATCTTTGGATCTTTGGCTGCCAGGATTTGTGTACTTCATAGAAATTCCAAACACCACCTGCGTAAGGTGGGTTGCTTTCCACACTGTGGGGAGATAACACCTCCATATTGTATTTTTCAGCACTGAGGGAAACATTTAAAACCCAAGGCGGGTACATGAGCAAGATTTTCAACTTCTTACCGGTTAAGGTGATGTCCTACGTGATGCTGCCCTGTACGCTGCCCGTGGAGTCTGCGATTGCTGTGGTCCAGAGGTGAGCGTTGTATGTGGCTTCGTGTCACGGGGCTGAGAGAGGCCTGAGGCCCTAAGCCCGGGGCCTGGCACCTTGTGCAGCGGGATGGAGCTCAATCTATGTGGAATACCCCGAAAGGTGCCTCGTGGATGACCCCTGCCCCGCCTACCTCCTTTCGCATTGCTGTTGTAGGTTTGTCACTTCTCGTAGGTCTGCCCTTTTATTTGGTATTTTATTCATGGGAAGGACATGAGGCAAACACGTGTGCATGCTGGAACCCTGGGCACTTGTTCTACCTCTGCTTTCTTCAAATTTACTTCTGGTGTTTACTTTCTTTTTAGTAAGTTAATCCAGCATGTCTTTCAGTCCATGTTTTAAAGTCCAGCCCACTCTTCAAAATGCAGCTCCGGCCCTTGGTGAACCCTCCCGGGCCCCTCCCCGACCCTGCCTAGTCAGCCTCCTGTTCCCACACAGTCTTGCCCTGGGTTGAGGTCTGTTCGGGTGTTTATCAAAGCCCAGACGTGGGGTTCTTTTTGTGTGTGTGGGGGGTTGGGAGTCTGTGGAGGGCAGTGGTCTGGCCTCTTCAGTGGCTTCCTCTGCTGGGCTGGCATGTGGCCAAGTGCAGGAGGGCTGAGTGGAGGGGGTGGTGTCTCGGTTACAAACTGTGGGCACAATGATCAGTGGGCATCTTGCCATAGACAAGTAGAATTCTGGAAAAACCAAAGCCTTTTCCTTTTATTTCCATATAAATTCCTTGAGCTTTCCAAAATTAAAAGTGGCCTACCTTTCCTTTAGGGCTTGTAGGCAGGTTTGTCCCAAATCCGCCTTCTGGGAATTCATCCGATTGAGATTAGAAGTGACCCTGGTGGTTTATCGGGACAAAGGCCATTGTTGTAAGATAGCTGCCTTCTGTTCAGTTGTTTTATTCTCTTTGTTGTGACTTATCTTCATGCTGACGAGGTGTGTGTGTGTGTGTGTGTGTGTGTGTGTGTGTGTGTGTGGTTTCCTTCCTGCAGACTGGTGTTGTGGCTTCCAGATATTTCTGATGATATCCAGTGGCTTCATTTGATGACTTCCCAGATTTGTTCAAGAGTGATAAGTCATCTGCTCCCCACTTCCAGGTACATGATTTGCCTGTGGGGGTTGGGGTCGGACAAGCCTTCCTTTCCGGTGCTCAGGCCTCGTTCACCATCCTAGAAACATGGCTGAGTGCCCGATAGGTGGCAAGGAGCTGATCCTTTAGTGCAGGGGCCCTGTCTTGTGGGAGGCAGCTGAGTAAATCTGAGGTCCCAGTGTGTCTCCCGAAAGCTAACCAAGACCTACCTGCACAGGGGGCAGTAGGAAAGCCTCCAATTGAGCCAGTTTTGATGGAGAGAGCTGAGAGGGGCAGAGGGGACAGGTGCAGGCCAGGAGTGTGAGAGAGAGAGCCTTGCTGGGCCTAAAGGAAGTAGCTCTGGAAGCCTGCTGCTGGGGGAGGGGGGGAGGCGTGCAGAGAGGCGGGGCCAGGCCCCGCTTCCTATGGGTGGGGCCTGGGGTCCTGTTAGTGCGGACTCCCTCCTGACCTCAGATTTTGCAGTCGGCTTCATAGCATGGCCCAGTGACCATTGCTGCTCTCTGAATTCTGCACCCTGATTAGGACCTTCTTCTGGTTACGAGGGTTGGATCTTATCCTGAAAATCACGGGTCTTGACTTTCTCGCCTGTCCAATGGCCTTGACCCTCACCTACCTCCTCTTTGGGTTTCTGTGAGGCTTTGGGGACCCCCCTGGCACAGTTCTGGATGCATGGTGTGCCCTCAGGAGATAGGGCCGCAGTTGTTGCTGCTGTTGGCAGACACGGAAGGGTTTAAAGTAGGGAGTGGCAGGATCTGGTTGGCATCGAGAATGACCACAGTGGCCTTATGGAGGGGGCTAGACCTTGGAGCCCGACTGGCAGCAGGCTCACCATTGAGACGGAGCCACACTGGCCCAAGCACGGATGGGGGGCCTAGTCGCTGAACTTGTGGGACTGAGAGGTGTCCATAGGTTCCGGGGCCAGAAGGAGGCGCCTCTTGCAAGGCCTGGTGCCTGCAGGCATTCTGAGGGATTGGGGCAACTAGTCAGAAGGAAGGGGCCTGGGAGGGGCAGGTGGGCTGTGGAGGGGCACCCTGGTGGGTGAGCTGCTTTGTGTGGAGGAAATGTATGGGCTCCATCGTGCCTATGGATATGCAGTGGGAGGTGTCCAGGTGGCTGGGAGGGCCATAGGCTTCGAGGCCTAGGTTGATGACACCAGCCCAGCACTGAGGGGCGGAGGAAACTGTGGCTTTGGGCTGGACCACCCTGCAGTGCCTAGAGTGTGCTTGGCAGTGCACTTGGCATTGGCAGTCAGTGCCCGTCCATCCTCTCTGAGACGGAAGTCGTCTGCTGAGTTAACATTCCTTGTTTCAGATTCCAAATGCTGGCAAGTAGCCAGCAGCCCTCCCCACACAAACCAGAGCATCATGGGACCTGAGGCCTCCTGCTCCCCACGGCCCTGGACGCCCGCCCTGTGGACTGTCTAGGAGGGGCCAAAGCTCAGGCTGCCCGGCAATCCATCCTCCAGTCCGGCCTGACCTTCCTGGACAGCAGTCCTGCTGGGGGCGTGGGGACCCTTTCCTCCCCACTTTCTCCGCAGGGGAGAGTTTGAGGAGGCAAGTCTAGGACGTTCTTGGCAAGGTGCTAGGCCTTTCCCACCTTTGTGTAGTTGTCTCCACACTGCCATGGAATCCCCCATGTCTGTGACGTACGAAACCTGCCTCTGTGCTGGATTTATAGTTTATTTTATTTATTTATTTATTTTTCTCTGCCTTTTTTTTTTTTTTTTAGCTGAACCATCCTGCCACCCATTGGCAGCTCAGCAGCAGCTCAGCTCGGGCCGGGAATCGAACCGGTGACCCTGTTGCTCAGAGCTCGTGCTCTTGAGCGAGCTCTTAACCAACTGAGGAATTTATAGTTTATTGAAATCAAAGGCTATCAATTTGTTTTTAAAGCTAGGAAGCTGTTTTGTTTTTTTTTAAGATTTTTATTGGGGAATTGGGGGGATGGGAACAGTGCTGGGGAATTGGGGGAAGGGGAACAGACAAGTTGCTGTTGTTTTGTTCTT